CCGACGCGGCCCTTGCTTTTCACCCGGGCGCGACTCTCACGGCACGCACCTGCCAGTGCCCGTAACAGCGGCATGGGAGTACACCCGATGCGGCGCAGGCCGCAGGGTGGTCACCAAGTGCATGAGGCCGCGGCGGCAGCTGCATGTCCGAGGACCGAGTGGGAAACGCAGGCGCAACCAGCGAAAAAGAAGAACCCGGAACTGCGGGCCGTGCTATGTTCTGGCATGTACATGCGAAAGAATATGAAGTAATCATCATATTCGCCTTTTCCCTCAGGCCCGACACGAACGTCGCGAACGGACGGCAGCGTGTGCAGCGCGCGCTACCCCAAGGAGCGGCAGGAAGGCTGTGGGTTCAGTACCCCAGCAGCACCAGTCTGGGCAGCGAAACCCACGAGGTGGCAGTGCGGCTTGTGCCGCGTTGCGAGGTGTAGAGCGAGGCCAAGTCGAGAGCCAGCCCCCTGCCACGGAGTGGGCCCCGTGCCGAAACGGCAAGCCATTGCAAACGATCTTGGTCCGCCGCGCATCGGATTCTCATCGGCTTTGGGGACCAGGAGATTCATGTCGGCAAGGCACCTCTTGCGAGCAACACGCCCAACCTCATAACAGACCTGGGCGACATCTGAAGGCGCCGGAGCTGGCACATGCTGCTCGATGATTACCAAGCGGGTCAAGCAGCCCACGGCAATGGCTAGGTTGGGCGGACCGTGAAGCAGCAGCCCGGCAGCAGCTACAAGCGATGCGAAGGGCGCAAGGTTGCGAATTTATCTCGAACACGCACTGCGTACAGGCGCAGGACGCGTCGGGCTGCCAGCCTGGGAGGCGGTTGCGTGGTTGGGCTCCGGCATCTTCTGGCAAGGGGCGCGGCGGCTCGGAGGCAACATGCTCAAGCTGTCGGCGAAGGCTTCTGCGTCGTGGCTCTGTCAGCGCTCGCCGGTGACAGCTCCAAGAGCGACATGGCGTACGCATTCTGCCCCCCCATCGCCGACATCCTCGTCCGGTGCTGGATGTAGCCGGTGGCCGGCCGCAAACGTGCGGGCCGAGTGCCTTGCTTAGACTCGGCGAGGCGGTGTCGCAACTAGTGGCTGTATGGTGCCACTGTTGCGCGGCGACCAATCAATCAGGCTTCAGCATCACGATGATTGGCGGCGAGACTGCGTGAAGCGCGGCAGCCTTGGTTCTGGCTGTTGCCCCACACGACAAGTTGGCCTCTGCAAGTCGATTTTGTTTTTTTTACGCAATTTTTTCGCGACAGGTACATGCGCCGTCCCAGAGCACTTGCAGGCTACGTCGCGCGTGTGTGATGATGACATGTATTTTTCTATTCATGATATCATACAAATACCCAAACATCCTGAGGTTCGTGAAATATGTAATTATTAAAGAACTACATTCTCAGGAGATCGAATACGCAATTGACATGCATTTTGAAATGAAGTGCTTGTTCGAAAACCGAGGCACAGGCACACGCCACAACAAGGAAACAGCCTTGCACACACGACGCAGGGCGGCTGGGAGCTGAAGCGTCGAGCCATCGCTCGTCCTGCAGGACTTCATGCACACCCGCCTCGCCGGCATCGCGGGGAAGCTCGCGGCCTTTGCTGCAGCCGCGACTTCAGCAAAGCCACTGGGCGCACGGCGGAGGTGGGATTGGATCGCTGGCAACGTGTCGAGGCAGGAAGCAGATTAGGCAGCATGGCGGTCAGCAGCTGCCGAGCGCAACCCCAGCACGCCGAAGCCAAAGGCTACAGTAGCTGCGAAGCTTGTATTGCAGCGGCTAGCATTTGATCACCACAAAAGTGCCCAGGCTGGTCGCAACAGGGCATCGTGGTCCACAGCGAAAAGGCCTGTGAGTGCGGGAGTGTATAGACGGTCAGCCTGCCTTCGACTGGACCGCAACCTCGCCCCGCACTTTTTTGCTTTGCACACGCACCGCTCACAGTAGGACGGCTACCGAAAGTGAGAGCAGGTGAATTACCCGGCCACTCAGTGGTGGCAGTGAGCAGTAGTGACAACCGTCAAGTCGAAGCCAAGCCCGAAAGAGCAACAACCCGCACTCCACCGTTGGGTTTGCGAAGAGGTTAGGGCGCACCTTCCAGTGCCACATCGATGGCACCGAGCGCATGTGCTGTGGGCGAGCGCAAGCCCGACGCGGACGAGGTTGCGAGCGGCGAGGCGCGCAAAACAGAAGCGGCAGCCAGGCGCATTGAGGTCGGGGAAATGACGCAGCTAGAGGCAGCTCCTCGAGAGGCCCCACGCCTCCACGAAGTCGGGGTGCCCCAATTTCATGCCCAGGACCACTTGGCGCTGGGCCGGTGACTTGTCCCCTCGCCACACGTCTTACCCCAGCTCGGCTACTCCGAGCGGGATAAGAGGGCCAGCCTCAGCAGCGATGACGCGTGTCTTGCAAGCGTTGCACGCGATTCCACAGAGCTGGGCGATCGTGCGGCAGGCGGTCCGGGGCTGGCTCCCTCGTGCAGGTGAACACCGCATGATGCCGCACTCCGCCAGACTTTGCTGTCGGAGCACGTACAATGTGGGTGCTAAGTCATCGCCTGATCGACTTGCTCGCATCCCTCGCTGACGAACTTCCCTGGGGCGTATGGTGTCATCTCACCAGCTGTGCACCGAGGGCTGCATACAACATCCGGGCGAAGCGGGGGAGCTCAGGGGCGATTTCGCGCAGCTAAGACAGATAATATGAAATTGACAGGAAGCCCACACGTCGTGGAGTCGCAAGCGCTGCGGCCGCCCAAGGCAACGAGGACTGCATCGCAGCGCGAGCCAAACCCGCACGAGGGAGGCGTCCGTGCGTGGAAGGCACACTGACACTGGTAGGGGCGCGTAGCTTGATCTGGCGCGCGAGCCAATCCGACCAGCTGTTGTGGCCCGCCGTGCGTGAGCTCCGGATATGCTGTGCGCTTGCGGCGTTCGGCTGCTCACAGCAAGGAACCACAACGGCCGCTGCCTTTGCATGGTGTCGCAGTACCGCACTCCCCCGCTGCACGGGGCACCGTACATAACCAGGTCGAGCCACCGACGGCCTTGTGCTCCGACGTTCGGGGTGTGGGCCAGCCACTGCTGCAGAACGACACAGCCTTCCGACCCCAGTGACCCACACCTCCGTAGAGGCAAAGGCTGTCGCAGGCGAAGCCTCAAAGCGATCTGCATAGCTGCCGGGGGAGTGCGGTTGCCGGCTCTGTCGGGAGCCAAGCACCTCCCATCACCTGTCTACAGGCTTGGGATCCCAAGAGCGCCTGGGAACTGGGCTGCCAAAAAATACTGCAAGCACATGATGGTTTTTCAAGCTAGCGGCCCGACATGTCAAATCTGCACCTGGCAGAAGACTTTTCATGACTTTTCACACAATGGAGCACAGGTGCATCGAAACATGCGAAAGTGCAAATGCACGCTGTGTGTGAGGGGAGCTGCTTGAATGCCTGGGTCCTTGCTTAATGGTTACAGGCTGAGTACGCCAAATGTATCCCATATCACTTTCTCTTCAGTGGTTATAAAAAGCGTATCCCCTTTGGGGGTCCTAGTAAAACCGCTAGTCATGTTTAATTTTCGAGAAATTGCAACTTCTACTATCTATTTACATAGATAGTACCCAGCCATCCGTCGATCAATCTTCTACCCGCGCCACATCCCGAAATACGCGCACCGAGCTTTGATCGTGGGATATTGCCGTACGTGCCACAACCCGTTAGGGGCATCCGAAGCACGAAGTGGCAGCGTGGGTGCCCACCCCCATCCAAAGGGTTTTTGAGGACACCCAACCAAAACAGGTGGCCCAGTTGTTTCCATATTCGCCCCCCGATACGCCTGACCCCCACTTCCTAGCGGGTCCTGCTCTGCTGCATGGGGTGACCTTCAGACACCACTGCGAGCAACAAAACGTAGAAACACGGTCGGCTGAGGGGTCCAACACTGCTGTCGTGTGCAGCATTTTCTACAATGCCTCTGTGCCGCACCTGTCTGCTGAGCCCGGGCTGGTAGGGAGGCTTCCTGAAAGGCCTCGGCAAACTGCTGGACAAGCTCTGAAAGACGTCGCCCACAACCAGCTTCCGCACACGGCCATTGAACTTGCGCCAGCAGCGACAACCTGTTCCGGGATGTCGGCATTGGCCAAGCGTTCGGCGGCATGGTGCAGCTTGCAAATGCGATACGAACCTGCAGTCTGTCTGTCGGCTCCGCCTGCACAGCTTCGGGCGGCCACCGCGTGGCGCCGTGATCGTGTGCAGTAGGTGGAGCCATTCCCCTTGCCGGAATGAGGCGCATCACTGCTTGAGTTCAATTCCATCGACGAAAGCCCCTTGCAAGCGGTGAGGAGAGCGAAGCTCAACGTGCGCAGGACCCCTGCTCCTGGCAACGGAGACTAACGAAGCTGCAGGAGGCCGCGGAAAACTCCCCGAGGTGGGCCAACGTCGGTACGGAGCAGGTCGAGTCAGTGCGCCGCCAAGCCCAGAACCAAAGAGGGCTGTGCACTACGCCAGCGTCGGACCCGTTGGTGCACACTCACTGCACCAAGAAAGATCAAGAAAGTGTGACCGGTCAGTCACCGTCTAGCCAGCGTTTGTTATGTTCAACCGCCGAACTATGCTTGACAAGCTCGGCTCTTCATACGTGGGTCACGTATGTCTTAACGTTCAGACTGAGGGAGTCAGAGTCCGACCAGTCATCACGAAGGCTGCTCATGTTCGGAGCACTGTCCCATTCGAAGCGAGCACCATCAGTACCGTTCGCCATCTTCGAGTGTTTTGCATAGTTTGCTGCGTAGCCACACCTGGGAAGCAATTCCTGGTGGACGACACCTCTGCTGTCTACATCGCGCTAAAACTTGTTTTGCATGACGGGCGAACTTCGACGCCGAAGTGACTGGCACAGGGAAGTCCGTAGCACAAACCGTCGTTGACTAGAGCATATAACAGGCGTAGCATCTGCACTGAAAGATAGCATCCGACTCCCCTTGCGGGTGCTGAAGTGGCTGAAGTGAAACATCACAGTGACTTCTTCTCAGCCTGCCATCAAGCAGAGGAAGCACCACCAGGAAGAAAACAAGAAGCGGTACCCACGCACGCAGCCTTGGGAACTTCCAGCAGCTTGTCGATACCACGAGCTGCAAGCCTCCCGGTTTCAAAAGTCTAAATGAGCCCTTCAGCTGAATAGCTTTGCATCTTCGCAACACCTCCGAGGCTGCGGCAGATCCTTGTCCCGTTCAACAATCTCTGGGTGAAAGCTTGCCAGCTCGCAGTAGATGTAGCTTTGGAGGAGCTGTGCAGAGGACGAAAACTGCACTACAGGCCTGTTGATCCTTGCAGTTCAACACAAGAAGGACCGCATCTGAGTATGCACCTGCTTGGTTGGCTCGAAATTGTCGAAGGACCAGTCGATCTTAGTGTTGCCTTATCAGTCTTGAGATACCTAGAGCGCAACCATGTTCGTCAGCTACTTAAGCTCCTTGCAAGTGTCCAGAACCATGTCCTCCTCATCGAACAGATGATCCAAATACCTGTAACAAGGATCCAAAATCGCAATGAGATGAAAGTGTGCAACCCATCTCCGGGTTGTGGCTCAATATTTCTTATTTGTGCCTTTTCCATTGTTCTAGCTTTTGCCTCACTTTTGCCTTTCTTGCCTTAGCTTCGTGTCGTCTCTGTCTGGCGCACTCGTCCGCCTCTGGCTTCACGGGGGCCCACGGCGTGGCCATTCTTTGCTAGTAGTCTTGGCCACGTTTGCGGTTCATGCGTGGCCTACTCCTTTCGGCGTCGCCCTTTCCTTGTTTCAGTTGTGACCAATCCTTGCTGGGTTCACTTCTGTCCCACTCCTTGGTCCTTTTACGGTCGGCCATTCGCATTGCAGTGAACACGCCAACACGATCGTCGTGCTTGTAGTAGCCGTTCTTGTAGCAAAGCTATCATTACTAGTAGTAGTAGTAGTAGTAGCAGTAGTAGCAGTAGTAGTAGTAGTGGTGGTAGTAGTAGTAGTAGCAGTAGCAGTAGCAGTAGCAGTAGCAGTAGCAGTAGCAGTAGCAGCAGCAGCAGCAAAAGGAGCAGTAGCAGCAGTAGTAGTAGTAGTAGTAGCAGTAGTAGTAGCAGTAGCAGTAGCAGTAGCAGTAGTGGTAGCAGTAGTAGTAGTAGTAGTAGTAGTAGTAGTAGAAGTAGTGATAGTAGTAGTACTAGTACTAGTAGTAGTCGTAGTAGTAGTCGTAGTAGTAGTGGGAGTAGTAGTAGTAGTAGTAGTAGTAGTAGTAGTAGTAGTAGTAGTAGTAGTAGTCGTTGTAGTGGTAGTAGTAGTAGTAGTAGTAGTAGTAGTAACAGCAGCAGCAGCAGTAGTAGCTGCAGTAGCAGCAGTAGTGACAGTCGTCGTCGCCGTCGTAGTCGTAGTCGTAGCCGCCGTCGTCTGTTGTTTTTGCTGTTGTTCCACTAGAAGTAATAGGTAGCAGTAGCAGCAGTAGGAGGATAGTAGTGCCACCAGTGGTCGTCAGTCACCATCATAGTAATGGTAGTAGCAGTAGTAGCAGTAGTAGCAGTAGCCGCAGCAGCAGCAGGAGTGGGAATGGGAATGGGAATGGGAATGGGAATGGGAATGGGAGTGGGAGTGGGAGTGGGAGTGGGAGTGGGAGTGGGAGTGGGAGTGGGAGTGGGAGTGGGAGTGGGAGTGGGAGTGGGAGTGGGAGTGGGAGTGGGAGTGGGAGTGGGAGTGGGAGTGGTAGTAGTAGTAGTAGTAGTAGTAGTAGTAGTGATAGTAGTAATAGCTAGGACGGGTACCACTACCCTATAGTACGAGCATTACATAGTACAACCCGGCCGAGCACTCGAACGAGCAAACATCACAGTCATGAACAAGTCACGACTAACAAAGACATACAGTCACCATTGCCGCTGCAAAGCAGAGTGAAAACGCCGGCTCTGTTGTACCACTGTGCAGTCATGTCACAGCCAGCTTAATTTCCATGCAAGAAATCGGTGTATGCAACAATCAAACAAGTTGATGGGTAGTGCGAAGCCTGGCACTCTTTCTGGTTCTTGTGGTCTCTCGTGACGTGTATTTTGCTCCAAACATGGGGACTTTCGGAGGCCGCGGCGGCACAGGAGTCGAATGCCGTGCCGTCAGTCTGAGGAATAACAACTAGTAACTAGATCTTGCTGTAATGGACCCGCCGTGGAATATAGCACCCAAACCGGACCCCGGCCACGGCATCCTTACTCTCCGGATCCGAACCATCACAACACACGGCACAGCACTACGGGTGGTATTTGGCTTTGCTGTGTTTCGGCGAGCCATCAAACGAAGATCACTATCACTAGCATGAACGAGACGAGCAAGAAACTATCAGAAGTAGTTTTGGAGCATCATTGCCAACTTCGACTTCGTACAACTTCAGTCTAAGTAGAGACCTGAGGGCCCTGCTTGAGTCTCAGCGTGCCAGGAACACTAATGCGCGCAGTAGGATCGAAGGTCACGGTCTTGGAAACAACCTGCGAGTCGCTGAGATGTGTATATTCTAAGACAAATCCTGAAAGTCGACACGCCTCTACTGCATCGTCGCTGGCTGTGGGAAGCAAGCTCTTCCACTCTACCTTCAGTGCTCTTTGGCGGGTGAAGACGCCACTTAACTGCAGAACGAGAGCCTTAAAAGTGTGCAGAGCAGCGAAGCAACACCGAACATCATCTGATCTCACCTCATACACGCATCCATCCATCCATCCATCCACCCATCCATTCATCCGCCCATGCATCCATCAATTCATCCATCAACTTGCCCATCTGCATACCCACCCACCGAACCTTCCATACCTTGATCCATGCATCCATTCACTCACCCATCTTAAACCATTCTACAAATCTTTCTATTTCAAAGCAAATTCGACAGACAGTCTGCAAATACTTCTTAAAACGCTTCTATCCTTCCTTAAACCCTGCTTTCTACCCTTGCACAAACTCTGCTATAAACGCCTTCACAGGTTACTTCTGCAAGCCCTTCTGTAGAACCCTGCATAAACCCTTCTCCAGCCTCTCGGAAAACCACTCCAATAATCCTTTCAAAAAACCCGTCTATGACAAAACCTCGACTGCTGTCCTCGGCCAAAATGCTTTACCCAATGTAATGCAGGGATTCAGAGACATCACGAAGATGCCTCCCCCGACGAAATGGCGGGATTCCAAACCACGGGCAATTTGCTTGCCACATGTACTGGCAGCACTGAGTGACATGATAACATGCCTGAAGTGAGATTCAGGAGTGCGCCCACAATTCAACACAATGTTTTTGAATAAGAGGATGAACGCGAAAACGCAAGGGTCAGCCCACCTGAAAAAATAAAACCAAATGTTGAACCTCTCAAAACGTTACAGCATGCAATGAAACCTCACGACAACCTAAGACATCTACGAGACAACCTCACATCCACATGCTCCAAACAACGTCACCACATCATGTCATGCCAACACACATCCACGGACAAACTCTTCTTCTCGCTTTCTGATTTGGTCTGAGAGCGATGCCTTCGGTGCGGGAGCGCATTTTAGCAGGAACGAGCGAGCTGTCCCCTCTTCCGGTAACCAATGCTTTTCAGCCTGCGACGAAGGTGCTTTCACTCAGACATGAAAATGCGACTCGACGGGCCTCTGATGGTGTGCCCAGGGTACTGATGATCTTCCGCAGCTGATCGACGTGATCCTTGCCTATCCCGGAAACAACGAAGGCGCGGCAGGCAGCATCTCTGCTAGCAACGTATCCCAAACAACACTTCTTCAACCCGGCGATTCCGAGCGAACAAAACTATTGTAAATAGCTTCTAAGACGCTTCCTGCAATTAGATGTCTGCAACACCCCCCCCCCCCCCCCCCCCTCATACGAGTCAAACTCTCTGTCTCCGATTCACGGTTCCCAAGTGCTCCAGCTTAGATATCTGTGTGCGCCTGTGTGACTTTGTTTTCGTCTCTGTCCATCTGTTTGCACACACTTCGAGCAACACCCCGTGTGTCATGTTGTCGCTCGATCTGCAGTCTGTTCCTGATATGGTTTTGGTCATAATTTCGTATGTTTCGTAGTCACCTCGAACGCAAGTTGCAGATATTCGCGCGCGGTGTGAATTCAGATGCAAGCAGCAGATAACCCTCTCTTAAGATTCAACGTGTCAATGTGTCAGCCTCCCTTCAAATCTGGCTCGCTTCACCGGAAAGTCTTTGCACTCCAGAAGCTGGTGAGACAAAGCAACATGTCGACAGGTCTCCAGGGAAGATTCGGAAGAGCGTGCACAGGTGATGCTTTGAGACTTTGAGGCTCTCGTGCACTGCAGGCCGAACTGGCCTGTTCACGGACACCCTTGTCAGCAGCTTGATAAATTCGTAGCATGAGAGGCCGGCTATCGGAAGTGTGAAGCATCATGGGCATGAATGGCGACGAGTAGGATTGTGCACAAACTCCATGAAACAGGCAGAAAGAGCAGCCGACACATTCGGTACAGGGTAGGCAGCTGCCTGCAAATAAGGGTTTACGCGAGATCAGCTCGAAAAGGATGCAGCCCACAGCCTCATCAATCGCAAAAGCAATAGCTGACCAATTCCCGAAAGCCCCACTGGCATTGCAAGGGCTCAAACCCAAACATCAATGGCGACTGTGTAGTCAGAGGACACCAACATGACCTGTTCCGAGTCGCTGAAGTCTTGGATCCAAGGCGATCTGTCAAAGCATCGCTTGATGCCATGAAGTCAACATGCCTCAGGCGCGCGGTACCAGCGGGTAACCACGTAGTCCGTGCGCCCCATGGAGTCCTCCGCATCCGTGGCCAAAACCTCCAAGACTCGAAAGGGAACCGCATGGAACCGCAGAAAGGGACGCGAGATGCCAGGCTCCGGGCACGTGCCAGGCCGAAGTCACAAATCTTCAGGTCGCAGTTCTTGTTGACCTCGACAAGGCCGCGACAGTGCCCGACAGTCCGCCTCAACCTGCTGCAAAACGATTAGCCCTCACAGAAGGTCAAAAGAACGAAGCAACCATAAGCAGGAGCATCTGCCAGGAGACTGACAGCTAGAACGGCTGTGAAGGGGGCACACACTGAGCCGTGTGCCAAAAGATTCGAGGGCTTGATATCACGATGCCTGGGTCGAGATGGATGCTAGCTGCTTTGCCGTGCGCGAAGCCCACGCCGAAGGCGTGCCAGCATGTTCGTCCCACTCGCATGCATGCTTGAATCAACTCTGTCTCTGCTTCTTCTTAAGCATGCGAAATAGAACGGCAGCAAACCTCCCCGCTCGTCCGGCCGGGTGTCCAAAGCTGTGCTTGTCTTTCTGTCGCCACAAGCTCTGTATCCCTGTGCCTCTGGAACCTGCTGAGACTGTCACACTATGTGGGCGCTGTGAAGGTATGCCAGGCCTCGGACGAAAAAGTCAGAAATAGTCTTCCCTTTGAGCACTTACGAACCCCTGTGGAAGAACTCTGTGGCTCGGGCCACGGAGTATTTGATGCATAAAGTACTGGTGATGCTCCTGCTCCAAGAACAGCTGCGCCCAATAGCAAGCATGAAAGCTTGCTTCCTCTGTCAAAGGCTGCTTGGAATAAATCACTCTGTGGAGATCCTCAGCTGCTCGTGCCAAGTTTCTCGCACTCGAAAGTGGCCCATAGTGACATGTAGCTGCAGAGCCCCAGTGCAGCTTGCGTGCTGTCTCCATGAGGTCTGTGACGATGTAGATATCCTTCGCAGCCGGTTTTGCGCTCGGGCCTCACTAGTTTGCTAATGCGCACCTCGAAGTCCGGACCGGGTGGAGGATACATGTCCATGATTCGAATGATATTGTCCTTAGAGCGTTGAAATCAACGACATGATAGCTGCGAATTGACAAGCTTCCCACGTGATCGAGCTGCCTCAGAAGCTTCACCTCTGAGAAGAAAGGCTAAAGCCAAGGCCAAACAGAGCTAAGAGATGCTACCAGTAGCTGCTAGAAGTCCTGAATCCCGCCTCACGCAGTATTCTTTTGCCATCGACCTTACAAACCATTTCGCATCGAGACGAGCGTGACACCGTCTTTTCGCGCAGACTCAGGATGGAGCCAAATCATTGAATGCGTTCGTGACCTTCTTAACCTTGATGCCGAACGAAACGTGGATGGTTTCTTGCTCCCCGGCAGCTTTCACCAGACGGCTTAAGGAGTCAACGGCAAACTTCTCGCCTGTTTTCTTGTCCTGCAGAGATGGACAAGCTTGCCGGTTCCGAAAGCCTGCCGTTCTACCTGGAACGAGGCCACGCAGCCATACGCCCCAGAACCTCAGCAGAAGTCAAACGGACGGAACAATCTGCTGCCACGCAGCCATGGAAGGGCACCGAGTGTGAGGCCAACCTTCTTTACAAGCTCAACGTGATCGGGAACACGAAATGTAGACTTGCCATCCTCTTGCCGGCAACGTTCAAAAGCACAGTAAGCTTACAATTTAGACACAAGAGACTGCAGACCGACGTCGGCCACCGGGCAGCACCCTTTCCTCCCGCGTCTGGTAATTTGAGTGTTGCGGTCCGAAGCTCTTCTAAAACCTGCTGCCAGTCTACCGTGGAAGACTTCGTCAGATGCTCTTGCAACCTTGCCCTCCATTCTACGATGCCGCCAGAATTGTCCGAAGACCATGGCAGGCAGCTCCTTCCAAATGAAGGCCCGTTTCGCTTCTCGTGCTGCATGAAACGGTAGCCCTCGAAATACAGAAAATCTGAGGGCAATCCGGAAATGTCGCGGAAAGCATTGCCTGACAAATGCCGGAGCCATCCATGGAAAGATGCCAAAGCAACTGCCATATACACGCAGCAGGCATCCTCGGACAGAGACGCATCTCCTGAAATACGTACAACAACATACAGCTTTCCATTCACACACAGCCTTTGGACCATCTTCATTTCCTCATCTCCTGCGGAGCCTTCGCCTGAAGTCTCTCTCCGGAGCAGCTTAATTTCCTGCATGGCCTCCTTCAGCCGTTTCAGTTTCGGTCGCAACTCCTCGAAGTCGTTGCAACATGTGTCGCTTCCGCTCGTGAGGGCAACAACATCCAAGAGGTATGCGAAATGCCGCTGCATCACACTGCTCTGTAGGTCAATAAGTTGCGATTTCTTCAGCTGCACGATTGAATGCAGCATCGTATGTGGCATTTCCTGCAACCTGGCCAATAGTCGTTGCCGCAAGGCATCTCCAGCAAACGCACATGAGAAACTGGCAAGCAACACTCTTCCGACGGCAGGGCACGAGAAATCTCCGAGATCATGAACGTCAACTTGCAGTGCACCCAATGAAGTCAGAGCCTCTATCCAGCCCTCCACAACACTTGACAGCCTGTTCGTGCCAGACAGGCTCCCCAAGAGGAAGGCGTAAGGCTGAGCCTTGCCAGACCTCTGCGAGATCGACGCAAGTCCCGCGGAGTCGACCTCCGAAACGCGCTGAATGCACTCGCTTGAACTTCGCAGGTGCATGAAGAGCCTGTTGCGGCTCTCGAACTTCGAGTTGCACCAGCGACAAAGGAGGATGCTGTCACTCTGTTGGGCAGAGCTTGTTTCGGCAGTGTCCCGGTAGCCATCTGGTACATAACCATCACAAACAAGCTCATCTTTCTCACAACATACTTCAGCCCTGCCCAGCACCGCTTGAGCGAAAACTGCATTTTGGGTTTGGTCCTCGAAAAACTTGAAAGGGTCGATATCTTCTGCTGCACCTGTGGGCAAGTGGACCTCAAACATTTCTGAGTCTGCCCCAGGCAAAGATGGGGCTGACATGTCCATAGGCACACGTACTGTCTTTGAAACATGCATTGCTGCAGATGCTGATCGAATGCAGAGAACGATGCCCACCAACTTAAAATCCGAAACCCCAAAATTCACGAGGCCATCGCACAGTCTGCAAAGTTCATGTGGTGAAAAATATGAAAAACTTGCTTTGGCTCCCAATCTCCCGTCACAGACAGACCCATCTGTTGGTGCTGTTGGCGTTGGGTTGGAGGCAGGCGATGCATTCCTCACACTCTCCAGGTTCGCCTTGGAATCCACCAAGCAGCACGTGACGAAAAGCTTCCGCCCAGATGACCGTGCTGCGCGGCGAAATCTCTGAACACAGCGATGCAGGTAGTCATGGTCCTGAGGAGGCCCGTCGTAGGTTGCGGCTGCAAAGTCACGGTTCAGAGGTTCTTACAATCCTATCCGTTCGAACCCTTGAGGCACCCCCTGCTGGCTATCCTAGCAGGCCGAAAGCCTTGCACTCCTGTCGCTTCCGCGATGGATCGTGGTGCAGGAACGTGAAGGATGGCCAGCGACCAGGCAGCCGCAGCTCCGAGTAACGCGCGTGGCCGGCGCCCGCACCTCGAGGGCAGAAGGTCAGAAGGCACCGAGGCAGAGGATGGCACGGCCGGCGCTCAGGCTGCTTGTCTGCTTGTTCTGTTTTGCTTTCGCCTTTGACCCTAGGCCCTAATCGCTACCGAGTCAATGTGCCTCGCTTGCCCAAGGGCCGGTACTCGCGAGGATCCAAGAAGCTGCGAAAGTCATCATGCAGGCAGTCCCTGACCATAGCAGGAGATGAGAACACCCAGTCAAAGGGCATTGCAGACCTAAGCTGGCAACATGGCGGCCACACTGATCCAAGGCTGGGGCAGGGTCAGGAAAGGCCAAGACGTGCCAAGACATGCCAAGATGTGCCAAGCTGCTTTCTCCAGCCATTGTGCTGCAGCCACATTGCAGTCAAACAGTTAGAGCCCAGTGAGATGACTCGCACGAAGGGCGGCGGAGGCTCGCAAGAGGGATGCCTGGCAGTCATCACGGAACAGAATGCTCCTTAGCAGAACCCGGGATCTGTTCGCAGTGGCGCCATGGCATCTAACAAGAGGTACTTCAACGACGTCTTGCGGCGGGCAAGGTTTGAGAGCTGAGTGTTTGGACACAAACAACTCTCCGGCAAGCTCGTCGCCACTCGAGCTGGCAAGCTGGGTCCTGCTTACCGTCCACTACAACCTCCTGCAGTGTGTAGATGGGCATGTTTCCTGGCATCGCATGCACACGCGGAGCTCCGTCCGGCAGGGATGCGGTTCGTCCATGCTAAGCGAAAGGCTCTAGACATTTCGAGGCAATTTGCGCGCTCGCCACATCCTGTTGATTGCGGTCAGGCTCAAGACCACTCACTCAACGCCATAATCAAAATGGATTCTTACTTAAACTGCACAAAAGACTGCAAACAAAAGCTCAGAAGCAGACGCCGCTGGATGAGGAGATCACGGCGAACGAGTGCTGGCAATGATCCGAAACCTTTAAAAGCTTAGGCTTATGCTGCGTGGCACTGTCTCTCTGTTGCTGGCACGCGGGAACTCGAAAGTGTTTTATACAACACTAGCCCCTGAAATTCGCCTGGCTTGGGTGAATGCAACTGCTGGCTCTTGCCGCTGGAAAGCTGAAGACGGAGGAGTGGTGCGATGCTGCGATCTGTGTCTCTGTATTCCATGCCGGAGCAGGCCCAAACACGTGCTCATAAAGCCCATTGGGCACCTTCTTTTCCAGTAAGGCTATCTTTGGCCCATTGGCAGCGGATATGTCCACCATCGACAAGCCCACTCACTGTCCGTCTTTTGTGGGCCTTCATGCTAGAAAGCAAAACTCCAATTCTGCAAGGAGTTTGTGTGCAGAGGCCAGACGACGGTCTTCATCGTCTCCATTTTGGCCAAGGATATGCCCACAATGAGGGCGCACAGACCTGCTAGCCAAGCACCTCAACAAAGCAAATCAAGGTGCAGACGACATGTGCTTCAAGGGAAACATGGAGTCTGACATAGAAACTTCTGTAACAGTAAAAGCAGTTCTGCCGAGGTGCCCCTTTGCGAGAGGAGGGTTTGTGGACCTTTGGATGCCGTGTCGCATGCCTGGCAGCGCTTCAGCCGAGTCATCGCTGTCTGACGCTACATGGGTTTGATTTTGATGGTAGGTTGCCTGGCCTGCAAGTCAGCAATTGACTCGGTACTTGTGCTCTGTGCATCACGGGCAAGGCGTTGAAGGTGATGCTGCATCTTGCGGTTGAAACATGTTGAAACTCAGTGGTGCACATCGCACCAGCATTCTGACGCATTGACTCGGCGAGCCTCTTTCTGCACATCGCCTCTGCTTACTTCCGGCGTAGCTCTGCTAAGTCGGGACATGGCGTCCTCAACGAGGTGGTCGGGGCTGGAAAGGGAAGCTTAGGAAACAGGGACCCGACCTGCCTCGACACCCACGGCATCCCGAGCCTTCTGTCGCACAAGCGCGAGACTCTGTAGCGCCTGAAAGTCACAAGTCGATGCTCGGACGAGGCCTTCGCCCTGTTGCATCCAGCCTCTTGCTGCAATCGTAAGGCTTCCGGATCTTGGCATGAAGAGCACTCCTTCGAACCCGCATGTAACAAGCCTTCCCTGGCTGTGTTTGCTGTGGCGCATGAACTACCATGAGCACTTAAATGTCCAGCAAATGCAGGTCAGAGCCGTCTTGGCCCCACTCTGGGTCTTTGCCACCTTCGAGATCGTGGAGAAACCCAAACACGGAGTCCAGACAGCAGATCGCCCGTTGCCTGCTCGCTTCCATTTTGCTCGCAAAGCCTCCTCGGCCTCTGCCAACCGTCCCGCCTGCAAGACAAAAAGCCTATAATGAATACAGTCGTCCAGTCTCTCGGTCTCTCTCAGAACCTGCGCGGCAGCGAAGGCCCATTGGCCGCACAAGCGGGCCCACTCCAAGCCAGTCGCCGACTGACCATCCTCGGTGAGAAACTCACGAATCAAATTCCCCAAGTTCCTTCATGCGTCCAACACATGCCACGTCTTGTGTTGTGCCCAACTCCAGCTACCAGCCGCTACGCTGCTCCTGGGGTCACTCGCTGAGTACATATGCATGTGCCTTTACAAGGGAATGCAAGGGACCGGGGGAGTGGAGAGGGGGTGCCGGTCAGGCCCACCTCTCATTCAGTCATGGAATCTCCTGTTCCGTCATTTTTCGTGTCTGCCGAACCGCATCACATGAGTACAAGATCTCGTCTTGTTTGTGCATGCCATGTCTAATATCTGGCGTACCTTGACACGATTGTCAAAGTGTTTTGCAGGCAGCGACTAGTAACTAGCTCCAATCAAGTTCCCGCGCTGCTCATCTTTCAAGTGTCGCTTTCTGGTTCTTGCGACCCTTCTTGCTCCAAGCTGTCGCTGTCCCAGTCCCGGCTTCGGCAAACTAGGTCTCGGACCTGTCCTCGACGATTTGATTGGGTGCCACGCATGGAACCCGCGTCTGACGTCATTCAGCAGGACTGGACGAAACCAACGAAGCTTCTGTACGCTGCCCTCCAGCTGGCATCAACATCGGAGGACGAACATGCTGACGACAGCTCGCTTTCCGGGCGAATGGTGCCGTTTGCATAGGACGAGGCTAGCTCCTAAGCCGGCATCAAATCTTCCGGCGCACCCGTGCGGTGGAATCGATCCGTTCTAGCTTCTCTCGAAGACAGGCCGCATGTTGCCGCTTAATGCATGCATGCGCGCCTTGTAAACTACACATGCTAGCTGTATCGAGACTTAATCACATCGCAGCTTGCTTGCCGGAACGCTGCTGTGTACCTGCTGACACACATGAAACTCCCCAACTCCCCAGCAAGGGGGCGGACGACCGCAACATCAAGAAGGTGTCGCGATTCATTCAACACCTCCTGCAAGGCCGCCATGGCAAGGCATAAAAGCTGCTCCCAAAGCGAAGGCTTTTGCGATCCGTTCGCCTCCGCAGCTGCAGAGTCTCCCAGAGACAAGTGGAGCGAGCACACTGCCACCTGAAAGCTGAGAGCCGAGATCTTGGTCCGAACCCAACATCGCCGTACATGCCAAGAATGCTTTCAGCGCATCTGTACTGCTGGAATGACCATCACGAACTCTTCCGAATCAGCCCTCCCACTCCGCTGAATTAGGAAGTATTCTATTACAAATGGCTCGAGAAACAGAACCCCTCTCCGATTGAGCTTTCAGGGCAAGACTGCTTAGCCCTCGGATGTTGCACACGCTATCAATATGTGCCATCGCACGGACGACGGTCTTGCTGACAGCCAAAACCTCGCTCATGACAATACCGTGCAAACGTGTAAACATCCCTCCGCAGCCGTCCGTGTCTGCATCTGACTGTTATGAGTCCTGCCTGTGCCTGGAGCTGTCTCCTCAGAAGTCTTTCAGAGGCCTCGACGAAAAACAGGGATGAGAGTGCAAGGCTGTGTTCAAAACATCAAGCGTGAGGGTCAAACGACTGCCGGGGTCTGGGAACCTCAGCAAGTGAAGACTCTGACTGCACTGCTGCACCGGATGCGGCACCGAAAGGAGCAAAGCACTGGGTGCTCAACTCGCGACTGCAACGCGATTATCTTTCCTTCCTTTCAGCTGCCTGTCCGAACTACAACAAGGAACAAACTGATCTAACCAGCACAAATGCAGGTTGCCATGATGCAGTAAGGCTCCAGCAGACCGTGCGCAAGCTTTAGCTTCTCAATCGCACGCTCCAAAGTGGGCATGGCCTTGCCAATCGTGGCATTTGATGGCTCGGGAGGAGTTGCTACACTACAATGCTACGCTTCTCGGGCGACGACCAAGTCAGAAGCATTCGGATCCCCAGCTTCGAACTCCTTGTACGGTTCATTACGGTTCTCAATTGCTCCACTTGACCACGGACTGGCTTCCGAGTCCAGGCGAGCCTGAGCCAGGCGGAGACCAAACTCAAGTAGGGCCGTTCCTTCCAACGCGGGTGTCGAGTTGGACCTGCCGCTTCGCACTTCGCACGGCCCGAATTCCGAAGCGGCTGCGGCTGGCCCCAAACCTCTGCAATGCTTGAGCTGCTCGTCGAAAGAAGGAGAGCGCCTCCTGCTGCGGGGCGAGCCGACTTTGTATCCCCTCCCAATCCACATTTTGTAGAAGGCCTTGTCACCGACAGCTTCGGCAGCATGTCCCAAGGACAGGTTCAGAAGGCCTGCTCGCCTTGCAGGCACCAGGTCACTTGAGCGAATTTTCAATCAGTGCTTGGAAATGGCCTGCTACACTCGGGCTCCGAGAAAGGAACCTGCAGCACTTGCTGAACCAGTTCCCAGCACGTGCACGTGAGTTTCATCTCTTTGCCTGAGTGACACCCGCTTCGAGCAAACTGGCAGCTCTGCGGCCACATCGGAGGGAACCCTCCTTGAGAAACCAAACTTGAGCTCACGCAATTCCACAGACACCGTGACCAGCCAGCCCTACAGGCTCTACTGATGCGTCATACTTCTACTTTCCAATCTCAGGTCACTGCGAAGTCTCTCCTGGCCGCTAGACACTCTGCCAACACCTCGAGGGAAAATAGCAGGGACAGGATGCAACGTTTGGTGTGGCCAGTGCCTCGAGCGCATCAAATGCCAGTGCACGCGCAGTTTGTGTGGAAAGGGAGTCTATTGGACCTCCATTCTCCTTCACAAGCGCAGCCTAAGCCTAAGCATATCACTCGCTATGTCATGCCTTTCGGTCATTCGGTTACGGAAGCGGAGCACGCTGGTGGCCGTCCCTCCCGAATTAAAGCCACGTCCGAACTCAGGGTCTCCCATTCCAGCACTCAGCACACTGAACGGTTCGGGAAGCGAAAGCACCCCCGACCCCCAACAGCTCGCTGAACAGTGGACGAGGCAGAGCATGCTTGCTACTCTCTATCGAAGTTCACAGACCAGGATATATAAAGGGGATTTAAGGGGTCATGATGTGTCCTTCCGGTCCAAGTAGTCGACTGCTTGCGTCAACATGCACTCGGCCTGGCGTCGGAGACTTTCAGATCACGGAGCACACACTCAGAGTGCAGGCTCTTGCACCCAATTGCCTCCTTTGTTTGACCTCGCTTGAAGAGTTCGGCCCCCTTCTGCACCCAAACAGACGGCGAATCAACCTGCCCACATTCAAGCGACTGGGACGAAGAAAACATGCGTTTCTGACCAAAGAATGTCATCGCCACAGTTACAACACCACTTCAGGAGCCAACCACGAACGACGAGAGGATTGCAAACAAGTCCGTGTACCGTAGGTCCTGCGACTTCTCATCATCACATGGTACCGATCCCACGGCTGATTCCTGTTGGGCTGCCATACCATCCCACGACGTTCATGCCCCAGAGCCTTGCCCCGGCAAGGTTAGAAAAGACAGCGGAGAAGCACACACAGCATCGAACAAGGTCGTGCCTTGCGTGTCTCTTGTACCACGGTTCTTGTGTGTCACAATAAAGAATTCCAGGTTTGTTCTAAATTCAACTGCCTGCGTCTGCCATCCTGGTCGCAAGCTCTTTGCCAATTCTGTGGCTTGACCAGCTGCATCCTCCATGCAGTTCGTGCCCTCATGCACTCAAGGGTCCATTTGAAGCTCCTCATCCTTTCGCTTCTGCGCCCAAACTTGCGCATTTCGGAGATGCTGCCTCGGTTAGCTGAACAGGGTTTCGATCTCAACAGGCAGTGCTGCCCAAGTGCGCCGCTCGGCCAAGCCCTTCCGACTGCCTGCCAGGCGCGCCAGGATGAGTGCTGCCTTGCTCCGCAAGCACCAGAAACAAGCTGCCGACAGGACTGATACGTACCCGGAATCCCTGAAGTCTGACGCAAAACAAACAGCCATCTAAGAAGCACTTAAATTCTCCATGCTCCCGGACCTCAGAAAACTGTGTGCCAGCCTTTGTCCAACGGAGAAACGCTGTAGCAGCATGAAGCCAGTGGTAACCTCGATCTCGGCTCCCTGCATGAGGATTCTCTGGATCAATCTCCAGTGCCGCGTTTGCAAACTGAGTTGCGACCGCTTCTGCCTGCGCGATCATTCGTGCGCTGGATCTAGGGTCTGAAAGCAGGGGAGCATCAGGCCTGGTGTCTCTCTTCTGCTCCGGCGAGCCCAACGACCTGGACAGGACATTCTCCATGCTTCCCACCCAGCGACAAGAGCAAGGGCAAGCGGATAGTGTCACGTGGCATTCTGGTTCTTGCGACAGAATTCATAGACAAGCTGATACAAATGCCCCAAAAAATCATATCAGAGCTGCAAGATGCTCCAAGTCACTCAAACCAGAATCCACTGAGGGCTGAGGGTGGTGGTGCAGCAATTACCCCGCCCGGGCCCCTCTCAGCACCAGGCCCCGGCATGCCCCAGCACAGCACCCGACAAAGATACCAAATGTTTCCGCGTGGCTCTAGATTCTACGGGAAAGCGTTATGGCACGATTTCACAAGGATGAAGAAGCGGGCCTGCATGGCAAGGCACGCTGCATTCAGACGGCATTGAAGCGCCAAGCTGGCTTCCTCGGACTCCTGAAAAGCATCTGCGAGCCCCCTTGCCCAAGGTGAAAGCTTGAATGCCTTGATGTGCCCCTCCAGCAGGGCATCGGCTTTGCGATACATTGCCAGGGCCTACATGAACAGACGAGAGCCCCATACCCATCTTGCATATTGCACGGTCCTCGCAAAGATGCTGCTGCCGTGGCCGCGCCTCCTTGAACATGACACAACGATGCTGATCACTTCCGAGGAGTTAAAAAAGGTCCTCGGCCAATGGCCCAGCCTGCTCTTCCCGTGCATGGTGGGCCAAAGCATTTGCCTAAATTCGCGGCCAGCTGAAGCGTGGGTTTGCAAGTGGAGCGAGATGCCCAGCCCAGCCCAGCCTGCTCGCGCAAGCTACTAGCTTGCGAAAAACCGCTTTCGTCTCCGTCCAGCTCCGGTTCGTCCTGATGCGCAGAGGAAAAGATCCTTGGGCAATGTGCCAAAAACACGCAGTACATTCAAAAACACCACAGGCACCTAGACTTGAGACCGATGCTGTTGTACTCTTATCTCCCGTCACTGCCCCGGTGCCTGAAGAAAGTCCCATTTGCTGGATCGTAGCGACACCATGTCTTCTGCTGGTCACCATCAATTCAACCCACCATTAATACAACCCTGTGTGAATTGTGTGCTGGACGCTCGACCTGCTATATGTACGGATCCGTCACATGCCACGGCTAAGTGCTCGAGAATCCAGTCTGTTGGAGGCCAGAGGAAGCAGTTCCACACTTGGCGTTCCAAGGCCTTCCAGACGCTGCACGCGAGCAGTTCTGTTCCTTTTTCGCTGCTGGCGCATCCACCGGCTCGAATACTCGACAGCTCTCCTTCACAACCTTTCGCTTCTAAGAACCGTGGTCTGGTTCAATAGGACAGCGGATTGTGCATCTGCCCGCAACTTGATGCAAACATGAGCACATGGAGGGAGATCTCTGGACTTCGAAAGGACTCTGTGCCTCCACACAAGCATTGCGACTGAGAGCACCACTTCACACGATTCGAGAGCCGTCTCCGATTGGGGAGAAGTCCGTTTCGTCGATGGCTCCTCGGTGCAGGTGAAGTTCGTCCAGGCTATCACAAGATGGCAGAAGCAGTGGAGGGTGCGGCACCTGTCTGAAGCAGACTGACTGCATCGGAGATTCTAGCCTCAATCTGGGCACCAAGGTGGCCTGCCCCAACCCTTGGCAAGAGCAAGAACTGGAGAAGCTTTGCGGGCTTCACAGGACTCTGTCTGTACGCGACTGAGTCGAGGGCCACTCTTGCATTTTGGATGCAGGAAACGGGCCCTGGACTTGCCCATAGCTGTCCTTGTAATACCACTGACCTCGTGGTACACAAACTGAAACAATGCACAAGGCAGTATCACAAGGTACTAGCAGCTAGCATCAGTCATGCTAGCATTGGTTCCTGGCGATCGCAAATGCGAACACTTCCCACTCGCTTCAATGCAACATCGAGATCACGCTTTTGTTGCTCGGTAGCGTACAGGTCAACTGGGTTGCATCATCTATCTGCAGTTTCAGTCCTCATCGGCAGCGGCAACATCGGCTGACAAGGTGTTTATGGCATCCTCCGCTTCGGGGCGCATCATCTCAACACCGACGTCATCGCCACCATCTCCGTGAAGCTCCATTAGCTTGGTGATGTCGAACTTTGGCTTCTTCATGATCTTCACTTTTCGGATCAAGCAATCCTTCAAGGGGAAGATTCCCTGCGTCTGCTTCTCAATCTCTTTGCCAATGGACTCGGGAATGAGCTTCTTGACCAGCTCTCGCAGCTGGACTTTGCTCGCCTCTTGCGTCATGATCTCGACCATCTTGCGACGAATCTTGCGAATCTGTGCAGACTGCGCGTAGCAGTTGGACTTGACCTGTTCTGGTCGGCGCTTCGTGAAGGCGATGCAGAACATGCGGACGACGTAGTTGTCCGTCGTCTTGACATCTACCTGTGCCTCGATGAGCGTCTGCCACTTCTTGATCAAGCTGCAGATCTTGTCGCGCGTGAGTGTCATGCCATGGAAGTCCGTGAGGCAGCTTCGGCCTTGGACCTCTTCGATGCAGAGACGGACCTTCTTGGAAGCCTGGTCCTCGTCGTTGTTCAAATCCGCCAAGTTCACCTCCAGCACACGGCCCTTCAGCTCTTCTGTGGCGATCTTCGTACCCTGTGTCCTGGACACCAACGTCTTGCCACAGTTCCGCACGGTGAACATGCTCGGGGCCTCACTCTCACACGTTACTCTGTGGATAAGCAGAAAGCACACTCTCTAAACTCACCAGACTACAAGAAGCCAAGACGCCTTGATGTCATACCATTCCTTCCTCAAGAAGGGATCACCTGCTTTCTTCTTACCACCTTTCTTCCCCCCTTTGGTGAGGCGCTTGTTCTTGCCAACTGCCATGGCGACCTACCAGCAGTGTACGCACCTGCTTGATCCCTGTGAGAAGCGGAGAGATTGCACGATTTAGCCTACTTCTGCCTATCTGAAGGCCAGCACAGGGCAAACTCAGCTGAGTGTTTGACGCTCCGGCGAAGCCGACAGTGATTGCGCCTGGTGCAATTTCCCAGAACATGTCAGTATCGCTGCCGCACATCGAGGAACTCCAAAGACGACGTAAACTCCATAAAGTAAGCTGCAAACGGATATGCCGCCTGTCAGGTACCGAACATGTAGCAGAATGCAGTAGGGTAGCCACTGCCTGTGTGATCCTGTGTGCACTGCCATGTCTGTGGCCCATTGGGCCCTGACCATCAGCAGCAGCGTCACCTCCACCGTAGCCGCTGTAGCCGTCATAGCCCCAGTAGCCACCCTGCATCGAGGATCATCGAAGTGGATCGTTAGTTGTGAACGGAGGAGGTAGATTCAATTCTGGCAACGGCACAACGGTTCCAAGACAGCATGGGGCCCAGGTGCGTATCACACTCTGCTGTTGGCGCTTCAGAGATGTTCGGTGCACTACGCTTCCACCTGCTTCTCATCTGGGTCCAACTCCTGTGGGAACTGTCGAAAACACTGCGGTGTACTGTCTGTCTTAGAGTTGAACGCAGCGTTCTCCTCGGCGTCCTCGTCTTCCGAATCCGTTCCGGAATCGAACTGGTCGGGATTGTCCGGATCCACCTTACAGGAGCAGCTCCACACTTAGGTAGCTGATACCCACTCACTTCGC